GTTAAGTAAGAAACAAAACGTAATACTACAGAAAAACCCGATGTGTCTTTGCAAGGCGGAACTTGTTGCAAATAGCAGATTGCCATTTTTAGATTGGTGTTGTACTCATGAGATATGCAGCTCTTAATTTTAAGCAGTGATGTACTTAAGTCATAGTTTATAGTCATGCTTCTTTGGTATTGCAGTTTTCGATTTTAATATCGTGTAGCATTTTGAAAACAATAACCTAATGGTGGTAGTGAACGCATCTATTTAAAGAGGAAGCCTCGTTCTTCAAAACACAACGTTGTTTCCTAAATTTTAAGTCCCATTTCGCTTTAATATTTTCAGATGTAAGAAACACTATGACTGATTAAACTTCAAGTATCTGAAAATTTCAGTGAAATGACCTATTTCGAGGGTGTGGGTGTGGGTGTGGGTAAAAAGAACAGTTTCACAGACACCCACACCCACCCACACACACACCAACACCCATACCCACATCCACACCCTGGTATTATCTGTACATAAACTTTATTGTAAACCAAGAGTGCCATTAAGGAAAGAAATGTAACAAGTATTTATTGATGGGAATATCTCTGATGTTCAGAAACATTTTCAGGTAAAGCGATTTTCATCGGAAAATATTTATTGTCGATTTTGTTGAAAGGAATTAATGACTTTATTTTTTCGCTGCTGTTAAAAGGACTCAAAGTTATCTCAAATTATTGCCCATAAATTCTAATAATTCCCTCGAAATGAAATACAAAAAAAACCTTTTGCATAGCATTGCTCTTAAAATCATATAACCTGATCATACTTTTGGTTTCCTCAATGATATCAAACGAATACAATACAAAAAAAAAGAGTTGGATTTGAATGAAATTGAAAAATGCTGGACGAAAAATATCGTGTCAGCTCCATGAGCCTCGCTTAGTTCTATTCTGAAGCAAAAAAGGGATTGCGTGGTCTACTGAGGATACATTATTGAGTGAATTCACATCCCATACTGTAATTCTCGGAGGCATTAATCTTGAGAAATGATTGATGGATTCAGACTCCTCACGCTCAAAAAATCTTTGCTCAAACTTTATAAAAAAAGGTCTTTTTTAATAAACAAAGTTGTTTGAAAAACTAATGATGCCAATCGATTTCTGGATCATAAAAACCTTTGGTCAAACTTGAATCTTTTCTAAGGATATATTTTTTTTTTGACCTTCGACTCTGACACATACATACACACAAACGCATTTTATTTCATATGATTCTCCCTATAGTCGAAGGAATAATTATTATATTATAAAAACCTTCATTAATTCAAAACATACTTGAAAATTTCTTTCAATTTAGAGATAAACTACCTTTTTTTCATTGATTATCATATCTTTTCATATGACAAAATCATTTGCAATTGATATAAAGAGAAAAGTTCGTCTTCTATCAGGCTTACTATTAAATAGAGAATATAAAATCAACAAATGATCTATCATTCTCTTCAAAATTCGAACAACATAAATATGTACCATTTAATAATTCTCGTACATCAGTTACTGTTTTTGTTAAACATCTATTAAAATCAATAAGATGTTCATTAAATTTGTCACAATGATGAATAATAACAGGTAATTGTTATAATATTCTTTATAGTAAAATCGATTTGTAAAATATTAACAGACATTATCCATTTCTTGTATTTTCGTTTGAGAAATCTTTCTCACCAGACAACTTACGGAAATCTATATGACTACTTGAAGAGCATGTTTCACTAAACTTTTTCTTTATGAACAAAATTCAACTACATTTTTCCTATAGAAATACTTCTAATTGAAATTGAAGATCAAACTTTTCGATGATCGTTTGTCATTGGCTAAAAATAAGATGTTCACTAGAATATTAAAAATTTGAGTAAAGTAAGAAAAAGAAATTGAACGTTTCTATATTGTTTTATTGCTATCCTTTTATACAAAAAAAAAATTTCCAGTAGAAAAATGTTCATATATGATAAATGTGGTTTAAAGCCACATTTCAATCGTTCCGTGATCACATCGTAATCGATATGGTCGTCTAATAAGATATTGATATACTTGTTGTTTGATTAGATGTGGATAACAAGATGATTTAGAGCCGGTCAAATTAATAAAATTGATGTGAAGTGAAACAAGTTGTTGCAAATGAACAACAAGAAAATAAATAAGTTTAAGTATACGTTCTGTAGATTTATTTTTACGATCAACCATAGGCAATGACGTCCATCTCAGTCCAAGATACGAATCATGAATACTAAAAAAAACTCTTTTCAAATTAGGTAATTGATTAGATAATAATTTGCAAAAATCTAGAGACTTTTTCCATGTTAATGTCACATCGTGCATCTCCAATGTTTGTACCTAATTAATAGAAAATCTAATTTATTGGAAGAGAAATCAAAAATAATATATCTATGTTATATAAGTTTAGCCATTTATAATAATCTTTCTGTTCTAACGGTAAATTTGAAGAATTTAAATAAAAAGAATTTTCTTGAAAAGAAATATAAATAGTAGTTAAAGCAGTATTTCCAGACAAACTAATATCAATGAAATTTTTTTCTTAAAATAAAGTCCTTACTTGTTGATTGATCAGAGTTCCGAGATTATTAATATTATGTATTATGGCGTGGCGAAAAATCCCAGTATTTTCCCATACTTGTAGTGTATGCACATTAGAAGCCATCCGTAATATTGATTCTAGTTCAGCTATAGTAACAACATCACTATTATCAATTGAAATTTTTGTTAATAATGACCACGGAACTAATGATGATATAGAACTTGTAATATTACCAAGCTCTAAAACACAATTCTCATTCCTGTAACCATGAAGAAATAATTCATTAGCGCGCGGAAACAAATCTACTGCATGAATTGGTATTGGACAAGATCTAAATAGAAAAGGAAAACTTTCTAAAGATCAATCATACAAATAAGATATTTTCTACATACTTTTCTAGAGCTCTAGAAAACATGTATGTTGGAAGTTTTCTTTCATAACATGGTAAAGTGAATACCGTAAAATAATGACAATAATGATCGACTTCATCACTAACAAGTTCTTGAATAAACACTTTCGGTCGTTGTCGATTAGTAAATGGAGCTGTCAAAAATGAACTAAAAATTATTTTTTCCTTCGCATCATATTGAACATGTAAATCTAGATTAAGATTATAGATTGCCCCTGGATTGAGACGATCGATACATAACTCTTGAATAATATCGCCTGATATAGTCATTGGACTAGAGATTACTACATCCGTTTCTAATTTCAATGATAGATGACGAAGTTGACCAAACACAGACGATAAAAGCGCAATAGCTCGGTGAAAACTAATGCCATCTTTACAATTTATATGTAAGCGAGATAGATATAAAAGAAGACGAGCATCAACAGCAGTAGGTAGTCTAAAAAGATTCATATGACGATTACTTTTACAAATGATAGAATGTTACTTACGAGACTATATCAAAACTCTCGTTCTGATTCATTGCTAGATCTTTTACACCAACAGAAAGATTTTCAATAAACGGTATACAGGATATTAAACGTTTGAGAAAGCGTGACGTATTCATACCAATAGTCAAACTACGAAGATGAATTGTATTTAATAAACTTGGTAAATTCATTATTGACAGTGCTGAATATTTGTCTGCATCATATCGACCTTTATGATAAACATTAAATGGAAGTCGACAATTTGTTAGAAGAGGCAATTGCGAACACACCTTTTATAAATATACAAAAAAATATATTTTATGTACTATACTATTAAGAAATTTTTTTGTCAGAGAATAAATCTAAAATTTCCTAATGATTTCAAGGAATAATTCTCTTCTTACCTTAGTTAAATAAACTCCTTCACCATCAAAATAATGAAATGGATTAGATGATGTCGCATCAACTAATAAAGTATGTAATCCTTTAATAAAAGGATTACGCAGTAAATTATCAAACTCATGTGGTGTAATATTGATTAGATGAAGGCGTTGAAGCAATGTTGTTTGATGATATTTTAGAGATGATGAAACAAGTGACCAGCCACCAATAGCATTGGTTAATGTTACACGTAATGAAACAAGTCGAGTTCCTACTAATTTCAAAACATTTTGACAAAGATCGTTGAAGGTGAATAATGACATTGTTGGACTACCAATATGAATATGCCACAAATATTCATACATAACAATTCTTGAAAAATGTTTATTCAATGATAAAAATGATTGAAGGACATCAACAGGAGACAAATAATCAAATATTTCGAAAAGAACATCGGTAGGTAACAATTCAAACGCGCTAACCATCATTTTATTCATCTTTCTTATTCATTCATATTGATCCATACATATATAAATATACATATATATATCGCTCTGGATAAAAAATATACATTCGCCTGTTTTGTTTGACGAGCATTGTGTTTATAATTGTTCACCTTTATTCTTTATAGATTAACCTCAGCAAGAGAAAAGAGAAAGTATTAATGTCGCTTGTTAGGGTGTGGGTGTGGGTGGGTGGGGGGGTGGGGGTGGGGGGNTATCAGTTAAAACAATTTTCAGACAAATTTATTTCAAATTTTTTCTTGTAAAATAAAAAGCTCTTACTTCTTGATTGACACGAGTTCCGAGATTGTCAATATTATATAATATCGCATGGGAAAAATTTCCACTTTCCTCACATATATCTAATGTATGGATATTATAAGCCATCCGTAATATTGATTCTAGTTCAGCTGTAGTAACAACATCACCTTCATCGATTGAAATTTTTGTTAATAATGACCATGGAACTAATGACGATATGGAACTTCCAAAAATTATCAAGCTCTGAAACACAAGTCTCCTTCCTATAATCAATCAAGAATAACTCATTAGCGCGTGAAAATAAATGTGCTGCATTAATCGGCATTTGACAAGATCTAAATAGAAAGAAAAGATTTTCATAGATCATTCACACAAGATATTTTCTACATACTTTTCCAATGGTCTAGAGAACAGATATGTTGGAAGTATTCTGTCATTACATGGTGATGTGAATACCGTAAAACAATGATAATTACGACCGAGATCAAAATTACCACGTTCTTGAATAAACACTTTCGGTCGTTGTCGATTAGTAAATGGAACATTAATAAATGAGTTGAAAATTATTTTTTCCTTCGAATCATCTTTGATATTTAATTCTAGATTAAGATTATAGGTTGCCAATGGTTTGAGACGATTGATACATAATTGTTGAATAATGTCACCTGATATAATTAATGAACTAGAGATTACCATAAGCGCTACTAATTTTAATGATAGATTACTAAGTTGACCAAACACGGATGATAAAAGCGCAATAGTTCGATGAAAACTAGTACTATCTTTGCAATCTATATGTAGACGAGATAAATACAAAAGAAGATGAGCATCGACAGCGGCAGGTAGTCTAAAAAGATTCATATGATTGATACTTTCACAGATGATAGAATGGTACTTACGAGTTTATGTCAAAACTATCGTTCTCGTTTATTTCTACATCTTCTACACCAACAGAAAGATTTTCAATAAACGGTATACACGATATTAAACGTTCCAGAAAGTGTGATGTATTTTTACCAAGAGACAATGTACGCAGATGAGTTGTATTTAATATATTCGGTAAACTCATTTTATGGTACCGCTGAATATATCTAATCGATATCGATTTTAATAATAAATATTAAACGGAAGTCGACAATTTGTTAGATGAGGCAGTTGCGAACACACCTTTTATAAATATACAAAAATTCAATTTTATGCATCATAATATTAAGAGATTTTTTCGTCAGAGAATAAATCTAAAATATCCTAATAAGTTCATGGGATAGTTCTCTTCTTACATTAGTTAAATAAAATCCTTCAACTTCAAGACGATTAAACCGGTTATATGGTGTCACATCAACTAATAAAGTATCTAATTATTTTATTGAAGGACAACGCAATAAATTATCAAACTCATGCGGTTCAATATCGATCAGATGAAGATGTTGAAGTAATGTTGTTTAATGATATTTTAGAGATGATGAAATGAGTGACCATCCACCAATAGCATTGATTAATGTTACGCGTAACGAGACCAGTCGACTTCCTATTAATTTCAAAACATTTTGGCAAAGATCATTGAACATCGATAATGACATTGTTGAACCACCCATATAAATATACCACAAATATTCATTCAAAATTATTCTTGAGAAACGTTTATTCAATGATAAAAATGATCGAAGAATATCAACAGGACATAAATAACCAAATACTTCGAAAAGAATATCCACAGGTAACAATTCAAACGTGCTAACAATCATTTTATTCATGTGTCTCATTCATTCATACTCAATCATGTATACATATATATCGACATGGATAAATAATATACACTCGTCTATTTTGTTTGACAAGCATTATTTTCATATTTATTCATCTTTATTCTTTATGAATTGATCGGAGCAAGAAAAAAGAATGCATTAACATCCCTAGCTATTCCATATGTTTGAACGATTAGAGAATGTCATTCGTTTGTTTTATTTATACAAAGTGTATGAGAAGATTTTTCTAACGGATAGGATCTTACCTTCAAATTGGTGGGTGTATGTGGTGTGATTGTGGTAGCAAGAAAGACCCGCATCAACTCACACCCACATTCTATCCGACAAAGGGTTAATCTAGCTGCAGTCTTTGATGTATGTACTCAAACATTTCTTTCGTTCAAATTCTGATTCTTCTTTTTTTCATAGCATCAAATAATTCAATAATATCATCATTACTAAATGATGAACATGTATTAAAATATGAAGCAGTAAATAATCATTTAGGTGTAATGACAAAAGATGATGTTCATCTTGATATATAATATCAAGTAAAAACATTTGCAAATAATTAGCATATAAAATGTTCAAATAAAAATATTCATAGTGAGGCATTAAAAAAAACGTATATCTGCTAAAATATTTGCTTGTTGTCTCCAAAGAATTTTTTTCCTTATAGAATGGATTATAATAATAATAATAATTCATTATTTTCTTCGTGAATATAGTGATATACAGGTAATAGGTTATTTCTGTTATAATTAATGAAGCAACAAAATATATTCGAGCATCGTAAGACATGAAACAACCTTTGATCATCAGTATTCATTTACAATAATATATTAAATAAACAATGGATCAACAAGTAACGCGTCGGCCTCTTTGACCTCGCTTGACTCAACTCTGAAACAACAGCTGAACCATAAGAGAAGCCTGCTGTGTTTACCGTTTGAAAATGGCATACTATGCTTATTCATGTACATTAAACATCGAGAAAAATGGAACAGAGCTGAAATTCATTCTACTAATAACTATTTCCAAAAAATTGATAAAAAGTTCTACATATCAAAGACTTATTTTCATATATACACGTGTATGAGAAAAAATTAGTAAACGGAAAAGCCTACGAGTTACTGGTTTTTTTGACACCAAATCTGATATTATCGCAAAATCCTTTCACTCAAGCATCAAGCCGATTTAATTCTGTTCTTAGAGCATCGCTTGGCTTCACTTGAATTGTATTGAATGGAAAATATTGTAAAATTGCAATGTCCTTTCGTGATTTTACACGTCGCATAGGAACCTAACGCGCAGCCACTTCCTCTCTTCCTGATGGAAGTATGAGATTAAGAACAACATTCGATAAAGTTTGCCCTTGTGCTTTATGGGTGGTAAGTGAATAAGCCGGTATCAATGGTAATGCTTTTCGAGTGATAGTGATCCTTGTAGACATTGGCCTTATGGGCAACAGATTGATTTCTTTTAAAATTGTCGAAGATGTTTGCAACAGAGGCCGTCACAGGGCAGTGTTTTGATGCCCTGCCTTGCCCTCACGAGGGAACATTCCCAAGTGTCGACATCGCTTTTGAGCTCAGACTCTATGCATAAGGTAGACTCCAGTAAGGTATGAAAAACCCCAGAAGAATAAGTGCTCTTAGGACTTTTGTCTAGAGTTATAGGCATTTTACTGGAATTTTATCCTTTGGGATGGTATATATCGACAAATCGAATAATGGTATTGCGACCTGATATTTTGCCCACAGATAGATCTATTTGTGGGTAGAATACTCTGAAAATTTCAGCTCGAAAGAATGTTTTCTTCTCGAGATTTTAAAGTCCCAAAAATCAATTTATCTCACGAAAGATTCTAGAATTTACTTTTTTTTGCGACTTTAATATCTCGGGAAGAAAACATTCTTTTGGGCTGAAATTGTCAGAATATTCTACTCAAAAATAGATCTATCTGTGGGCAAAATCTCAGGTCGAAATACCATCATACGATTTGTCGATATATACCATCCCAAAGGCTAAAATTCCAGTAAAATCCCTATAACTCTAGGCAGAAGCCCTAAGAGCACTTATTCTTCTGAGGTTTTTCATACTTCGAATTCCTAAATACTTCTTTCGAGAAGATACTTTAAACAGATGCTAGACAATCAATATCTGGAATACCTAACTAATTTTTGGTTTCTTTTTATCTCATGCTATTCGAATAAAGGGATCAAAATACTGAACGTACCTCCAAAAATACATGGTGTTTTTTTTCCTAGAGCTTGATTTTTTCCAAGTCTGCCAAAAGTCAAAGGTGCAATATTTTTCAAACAAAAAAGAAATAGACACTCCAAGCAATGGCCAGTGTCGGTTAAAAAAAATGTCTCAGCTCAATCGAACGTACTATGTCAGACAAACGGAGACGATTCTGCACTTACTTTTTATGTGGAAACTGGTTGCGAGAAAAACGAAAAAAAATGTTTCCTCTATGCATCGGGATTTCGTTTTCTCCAATTAAAATGACAGAAAACTGGTCGAATTCAGCGTTGTTAGAGGTCCACGACAATTCTCCCAGCACCTTTCGAACGAGAAATAATTATTATCATTAGGAGATCACGATTATTGCAGCTTAACTAGAAGTTCTAGGCATTCGAAGACCAAAACTCTCTCTAGTTAATATCGAGTTCATTCTTAATTAAGAGTATCTATAATTGCGATTTGACTATTTTTATATTCAATAGAATTTATTATTTGAAGCTGTTTGTTTTTGCAAGGCACTATTTTTATATACTCACAACAGAAATATCTATAACAGCACAGGAAAACTTATCAAAGAGCAAACTTGAGTCGCTTTATTTGAATCTTGAAAAATAAATGTGTAAGACGTTTTCCGTTACTATTGCAATCATAGCTGGTACTCGACTTATTGAATTCTTGCTTTTTCTTTAGTTAATTAAAAAAAATATGTTAGCAGGCTATAAGTCCTTTACTTTGATTTTAAAATTGTAGTTGATACAAAAACAACATAGGATACATTCAAATTTCTGTATGTCATTCGTTAATGAATGATACAAACTAAAGAATACTGTTGCAAGGCTTCAGATAAAATGTCTATGATGTATAACTGAAATTGTTTTTTATATATTCAATGAAAGGAATACAACTCATAGTCTGGTGTTGAGTTAGGTCAGGAAGTACAGTGTCTTTAGGCGTAGATAAAAGTTGTACTTAAATCCTTAGTATATCAGTTTTATCCTTTTTTTCTCTTGGATAATTGTGAATTGGTCAAAGTTTTATTTTAAATTTATTTTAGAAGCTAAGAATGAATTAAAGCAACTATTTTATAGTGTTAACCATTAATGTTAATATTCAAGTAACACAATGAAGCATATGAGAATAGTTAATAGCAACAAGAAAAATTTTTCAATCCAACTTCAAAGATATATACATCATTCCTATATAATATTTATATTACAATTAATTTTCTACACTTATTTC